ACACAGCGTCTTCTTCATCTTCTCTATGCTCATGGAGGTGGCCCTGGTCCGCCACCACCGCAAGGAGAAGCGCTTCGGCCCCTCCCCCGGCAACAACTACACCTCGGGCTACGCGAGGCGCGGCTTCTTCAGCCGCTTCCGCCGGGGCAAGGATGCCGCGCCGCTGGACGAGGCCAGCCGCCTGCCGGAGCACACGCACCCGGACCAGCTGGACCACACGCGCCAGAGCTACGGCACCGAGAACACGGCCGTGAACCACGACGGCCCTGCTGATTACTACAAGCAGGAGGGCGGCTACGGGTTCCAGACGCACGGCGCGACGGGGGGCTGGCACACGGCGCCGCAGACGAGCGGCGCGCCGGCCAGGAACTACAAGTATGAGGATGGCATTTACGAGCGTGCTTGAAGCGAGCGATTCCTGAAAGGATAGGCCTTGGGAAGGGGGAAGGGAGAGGGGGAGGAATGCCGTGTGGGTGGATTGCTGTGATACCCCGACTTAGCGGGGGTTGCCTCTCGCTACGTCCTTGTCGTTTTTGATGAGGCTGGCTTTGGTGCTGTACTACGTAATGAATCGAGCCATGACCTGACAATTGTTACTAATATACACTGTTCTGTACTGTACTATCGTGGGTAACACGCCGCTGAATGCTCAGGGGCGTCTTTCGCTTTGTAATTGCATCATGGGCCAGAATCATAACGACGTCTCGTTTCGTATCAACACACGCTTGGCCATGGACAGTGCTCACAACCGCCATCACTCCAGGTCATGCACACCCCATGAGCTGGGTGCTCCAACTCCCCCACCGCTAGTAGCATACATACGTCCCAACAAAAGATATATAATCCCATGCTTCTTCGCTAACGCATCGGCTACTCAAGCCCATCCCTCCACATGATCCAGCTCGCCGCCAGCTTCTGCCTCATCCCCCCACCCGGCGTCAATCTTCTCCAACTCCCTGGTGAAAAAGTCCTGCTCCTCCCGCATTGCCGTCCGTATATCCGCCGCAATCTTATCAGGGTACCGTCGCACATTCAGCCAGTGCGTCAGGCTCCTGAGGGCCTGCTCCAGCGGCAGCGCCGAATCCACCTCGGCGTCCACATCGCTCCCGGCGAGCCACTCGTCCCGCAACTCGGGGCGGCAGTGCAGATACACGGCCGTTATGACACGCATGTTTGACTGGCGCCATTTGCGTCCGCAGTAGGGGACCTGGTTCTTGAAGAGTTTGAGCGTGTATAGCCGCAGCTCGGGCTGCGGAACCCGCAGGGACTTGCGCAGGATGGTGGAGGATTTGTACTGTACGAGGAGGAGGTTGCGGTGGGATTTGTTTTTGCAAATCTTTTGGAGGACGCGGAGGTAGTTGATGAGGGAGAAGAAATTGCGGCGAGAAAAATCTGTGATGGGTTCTTCCGGGAGAGGGTTGACGGGGTACCCGAGTTCGTCGACTTCAGGTCGCGTTGACGCCTGATCGTCGCTGGCCTCACCTTCGTCTTCCTCTTCGGGATCAAGATCCCTAGCCGGGGATCGTCTGCGTTTGATGGGTGGGGGCACAGCGTCGTCTTCACTGTCATTTTCGGAGTCGGGTTGCTGCTGCTGCCCTGTTTTGTTCTCGCCCTCGGCATCTTCTCTTTCTTCCTCGTCCTCAATTTCCAAGTCACTGTCGGCCTTGTCCTTGAGCTTGGAGCGCAGATTACAGAACTGGAAGAAGCTATTGGCTCGTTAGAACGAGGACTGCTGTTCATTTTGTTGGTGAGAGCCCCCTACCTGTTCTCTACTCGATCCATTTTGCTGTCCACTACCTGCTGAACATCCTGATGGGCAAAAAGCTTCAGCACCAGTGGGACGTAATTGGAGTCCAAAAGTAGTTGCGTGAAATACTCAAACTTGAGAACGTCTGCACAAGGTCAGTGGGGGGGGATCAACAAGAGGTAAGACCATGGCATCTTACGAGATATCCTCAGCCACTTGAGAAGTAGCACAAGAATCCCAGTCATGGCCTTGGACGTGATTTCTCTCGTCCTGGCGGCATCGACTTCCTCGAGTGAGGGCTCGGGCTCTTCCTGTGCAGCAATCTGTCCCGGAATCTCTGGCGGCCTTGGTCCAACCGGGCCGCCATTCATTCCTGGGTTATTTCCTCTGCCCGCCATACCATTGGGCATCTGGCCAGCTTGCTGCGCTACAATGGCGGTGACGTTGACCAGGATTGGCCGTAATAGGACAATAACGAGTGACTGCAAATGAGGCAACGAGTCTTTCTGTTGATACAAGGTCGGTCAGCAAATGATGATCCACATTCTCTCTCTGTTCGAGAACTTACGTAGAATCTCTCCACCGCCATTAATCGTTGCTTATCTCTTTCTGACAGGTTCTCCGGGTGTGGTCCGTAATCCACCTCGGGCTCCGGAACGTGTACATGTCTTGTTGTCTTTTCCTCGGCCTTTATCTCCTTGAGCACTTCTCTCTCCTCTAACGTCAACTCATTGAGGTCGAGATCCTCAATCTCATCCTCATCCTCGTCATTCTCCGTCCATCCGCGCTCAAATTTGAGGAAGCGTTCTCGCTCTTCCCACATTTGCCGTGTTGCGCGCGTCATCCGCACCCTGGTGGAGAAGAGTTCGCCAGCCTCAAGAATCGAAGCGGGAATATCGCTTCCTTCCCATCGCCGACTCACGATTGAGTCGTCAATGCCAGCCATGCCCTTTCCGCCAGCGCTGTTACTAGTGGCATCTAGGGGTGGGTACATGAAGGGGAAGTTTTGATTTGTTTGGTAATTCTGCTTCTTGCCTGCTTTTCCACCGACTCCGGGTGAAGGCGGGGGGGATGGTGCAGGTGTGGCGATGTGAACTGGCTGGTTTAAGATGGAGGCACCACCGGCTTGCAGCTGTGCGGGGGTTGCAATAATTCCATTTGAGCCATTGTTTCGTGCTGGGTGGTTCGGAATGGGTGGTAGGATCGATGTGGTTTCGTCTTCTAGGGGTATTAGAGGCTGCGGAGGGACATATGCTGGATACTTGGATGTGATCTCTTGTCGGAACACATGGTAGTCCAGAGGCGAGGCTGTGATTGTTTCCTTATTCATGCCCTCTTTTATCTCGCTCAGGGCCTCCTTTACCTTTGCTAGATCTCGCGTGCCGCCAAATACCAGTAAGATGGTTTTCCAGAACAAGAGGAATATCTGCGCGTCTGTTAGCAACGCAGCCCTCAAACCCCCAGCCACGTCTCAATCACCTGTGTAAGCGGCATGAAATTCTGCTCATCCCATCGCAGTTTAGAAGTAGCCGTCAACATAAAATCCACCAAAGACGGATTCAATTCCACTGAACCACCAACAGCGTTAGTCATTACCTACATGAATGAATCAACACCAGCCCACACTAAGCCACTTACACAATGCCTTGTACGACGAAGACATATCGTCGGTGTCGTTCAGCGTCTCCTGAATAGCAATATACATAATGGTCATCAGATTCATCAACTCGTCCTGTGCCTCCTGCGGGCTTGCCTGTTGGTGGATGTCTCCAGACCTGCAACAAGTCAGCAAATCGCCCGTTCACTTCACACAGCCCTGCGAGTCACCGCCTTACCAATGCAACTCGAAACAGTTTCTCAGCGCCTCCCAAATCACCGGCAATCCTTCCAACGATGCCAAACACTCCACACCGGCCTTGATGGCCTGCAGCTGGGGTATACTAGCAATGGACCGGCTGCCTCCAACCGGTGCATTCGGCATAGCCGTGTCTCCCCAACGGCCCAAAACAAGATATACAATCTTGCCTATTGACGCAGACCGCAACGCCGCGTCATTGGACTGCACTCCCGCAATGGCGGCCTGTATAAACTTGGCCCGTGTGTCGTGATCCGCATCGTCCCACGAATGCTGGCCGTCAGAATCATTGTTCCAGTGCCACTCGAATGCCTTCTGAGCAGCATTCAAGCGAACCCACTGCCAGAATTGGTACACGAACCATTCGTCAATCTCCTCGGCATGCGGTCCCATGTCTGAGTAGACAAAGTCGTAGGCAACAGGCTCGGCGCGATTCACTTCGGCGACAATGCGGCGGAGCTGGAGCAGTGAGAGAGAGTCTGTAGGTGCCGGGCCCTGTTGCTGCTGAGGCTGCTGTTTTAGCTTGGCCTGGCCTGGTCCTGCTGCTGCTGCTGCCGCTGCAAAACCAGAAGGCATTGCATTTCGCTGCAGGCCAGGTCTTGACGGCGGCACGGGTACAGGGGGTTTATTCAGTTGTTCGGCCCTCATTCCGCCTTCAGCAACTTCTCCCGTATCTGCTACATCGTCTGTCGGCCTCGGGGGCTCAGAGGTCTCCTCGGGAACGGATCTGGGAGTCGGCCACATGGCTTGTGGTGGTGACACTGACGAGAGCAGGGAGGTTAGGCGGTGATGTCGTAACTCGGTCGTTCCTGGCGCATTGCGCGTGCCGTCCACCGGTTTGTTGTGCGCTGTGTGAGCTTCAGTCCATTTGGCCCACCTCAACCAGGCGCTCGATTTCGTGGGCTTGTTGATCAGGGTTGAAGATGGTTTTCGCGTGACTATCGATGCGAGGGGCCTACGTTTGTGAGCGAAGCTTTAGCTCTGGGTTGGTGCGATTGGCGGGGGTTCAGGCTGGCAGGTACGGACATGGAGGAAGCATCCCCATTGGCTGGCACGAACCTAACAAGCGCAGCCAAATGCATCGTTCAAAAAGACATCCATCAAGGACGGAGCGAGACACAAGTGGTTTGTTTGTTTATTTACTTACTATGTTTTACTAGTGATTTACTCATTCATCTAATTAATTGATCTCATTCTAGGCTCTCCCCTCGCAGATTTAAAAACAATCTTGCGTCCTGAGCCGGACTGCACTATCCCAGTATTCAATTCACCGTAACACTATACGCGACGATCGTCTACAGGCTCCAACGGCATAAAATAATTGCATTATCTGTGCGAATCGCTTGTGAACAGTTAACAAGCGCCGTTGCATCACCAAATATCTTCTTCTAGCCCGCCCTATTCGCCACCGCTTCCACTCGAGGCGTCGTCCTGACCATCTTCTTCCCCATCGGGCTTGCCCGCCTTCTTCTTCGCCCTCTTCCTTATCTTTTTCAACCGGTTCAGCCTCTTCTTCTTCTCCTTTAAATATTCCTCCTTATCCAGCGCTTTCTTCGCCGCAGTATCAGCCTTCTCCCTCTTAGCCTTGATCTTCATCCGCGTCGCAATCCGCCTCTTCTTCCCCGGCCTTTTTCTCGTCTTTGCGTTCTCCTGTCCCGTCACCACTCCCTCCATCTTTTCGTTATCCTCGGCTTTTGCCCTTCTCACGATAGTCACCCTTGTCACTTTCCATGGCAACTCCATTCCCCATGCCGGCCAGTGTGATCGCTCGACGACCTCTTCTCCAGTCACTGCTGCAGCCAAGTACTCTCGCCTTTTGCTGTCGGATACATTTCGCACCAAGTAATATGATGGAGGTCGTCGATGTACCAATGCGCCTTCTCCAAGAGGCCCGGTGTCATCTTCCAGGACGACTTTGGCCGGCGCGCCAGCAGTGCCGAAGAGCCGGAAGTCGAACTCGCCCAGGTCCTCGTCGGAATTTTCTTGCACCTTTTGCTTTCCGTCACCTTCTTTGGTGGCCTCGGTGGGATTTTGGAGTGCTAGATGTGGCCTTGCGTGAGGAGTTGAAGCTGTAGGCGCCGGCTCATGAACATCCATGCCCAGTGACTTGGCGATCTGCGCATTCAGCCTCGCCTGCAAGTCTAGATCGATGCCCTCGTCTCCACTGCCACTCCATGATGAATCACGATCATTGTTCAAATCCTCCCGGCGCACCCTGCATGGACATCAGTCACAGTCTCAAGAATGAAGGTCCCCGTGAGCAATGCGAACCTCTTTGCCTCGGGCAGCTCAAACATTGTAGCCAAGCTCGGAACCAGCCAGGATCAGTGTGCGATTTCTGCAACGCGAATTAAGATTGAACGCCTGGATAACGAGCCAGTGGCTCTCGATTTGTGCACACGGGCTGTGGCTCGTGACTCGTGAGCAAGTCGCCTTGGGCTCGTGGATGAAGTTTCAGTGTTCCACCAGGTGACCAACCTGCCTCGGTCCCACTTCAAGCCGCCAAGTGAGTTGGGGGCCATTTGCTTATCTTATCGCACACGGCCAACGGAAGGCGTCGGTCGGGATGAGACCAGCAAGCGCCCTCCGTCTGCTTCCACTTGCTTATTATTAGTAGCGAGATAACTGCCGCGCGCTAACAGACCATAGCTCGACTTCATCGTGGCCAAGCGTAATCACTTCAAAATCAAACATCACAGCATCCAGAGCCCCAAGCCGCATAACACAAGAACCTTGACAATTTCTGGTATCTAATGTGTGCATGTCTGGGATAATTCTAAAAAAAGCTAGCTAAATGCGAGAGAAAATACAACCCCATTGCAGTGCCGAACGGGGCAGGGGGGGCAAGGTAAACAAACAAGAAATGAAGATGCGAAAAAAAAAAACCAAGAAGCCTCTGATCGCTATAGCGCCGCCGTCAAGGCAAATATTAGCGGGCAAAAAACTAGTAATAAAACTCGATGCCAGCCCACGGGTGGTGCGGCCTCGGCGTCTGTCGTCAAATCCGTCCGTCCCATGGCTCATTAAACCAGAACACGTCCCTAATCAATCCCCAATCAATCCCCCTATCAGACCATACCTCACGCCACAAAAGAGCCTATCCTGGCCATGCTAATGCAATGTACTCAAAAAATGCAGTTATATACGTCGAAGTAGTGGGTCTCGCCTGCATGCTCAGGACGCGCGCCCATGCAACTCCGGCAAAACCCAACCGAACCAAATCAACAAACTTGTCAACCTGTCAGATATGACTGTTCCATACAGCGTCAAACAGGTTTGATTGATTCATATAACATATGTAGATCGGAGGCGTCCCTGGTCCAACCGCCTTGCTCCATGCAAAAGGGTCAGGCTGCTGTCTCTTGGGCCGTTTTGCATCAAAAACGGTCAAACCAGGGCTCCCCAATAGCGGGTATCTAGCGTCCACAGCGCCAAGCAACGCAGATGGTGAATAGTAGTAAAAGTAGTGAATATAGTACATTATGTTTAGTCAAAATGAAATTGATGGCTTGCTGCGGATTGCATTCTACTCCACCAGACCCCAGCCTGCCACTGTTCAGGGCGTCTTGAAGGGTGTTGTTGCAAGACATATCATAGACACATCATGAACTATCCTGCAGGGAATCCGTAGAATCTAAGCAGCTGTCCACGAGTAGTTGTTCATTGTATCAAATGAGCCACGAGCGCTGTTGCTGTAGGGCGCAGGTTCGTGTTTCAGTGGAGACACTCCTGAATAAGATCTGCCATCATTGCTGGCATAAGAGAGGCTCGAACTAGACTCTGCAGCCGTAGTTGTCCATGTATGAGCGGGAGGGTAGTAATCTCTTGACGGGGCAGCGCTGCCACCTGGCGAGACATCACCTACGCCGTTCGAAATACCACGAAAAGCATTGTATCGATAGTCTGGGCCTTCCGTATTATGGATGGATCCATTGCTGTGAACAGACTGGTGGCCGTGGTGCCGGGGGCTCTTGGAAGGCCTCGGATTGCTGTCAACGTATCGTGGCATGCTGAAACCACTGTCTCCTCCCAAAGTAACCGTGCTACCAGGGAGCTGTGGGGTCGACGTCGTGGTATAATTATACTGAGATCGTATACCAGGCTGGGGTTGATCTGCAGTCGCCAGTGGCAACGGCACCGAAGAGCCAATCGAAGTTTGTAACGGCAACTCTTGTGTCTCTGTAGCAAATCCCGAAGATCCGGAGAGTGGCAGCTTTGAATACGAATCAGGTGCCATTGATGAGGGGACCTGGGAGTTCCAAGAAGGGTATGAGCTGTATTAGGATACACAAGTTAGTTCATTCCCGCCGACTAGCGCAAAAAAAAAAAAAAAGTCCATACTATGGGGTTTTGGCTACTAACTTGGATCTCATGGGATTGATACTTGGGTTGTGAGGTTTCGGGGGGCTAAACGTAAACGCCGATCTGGGGACTTGCATATCCATACTCCTAGGCTTCCCGTCTTGTTTGAGATTAATAGCGCTGGCGACAACACCCAATCCTGTCTCCACCAGCGCCTGACCTCGCGATCCGGCGCTCGATCCAAGAAGAGGAATTTCCTTGCGGGCCTGGAAATTCCGTGGGCTGCGGCCACGGACCACAATCGGAGCGGTGATGGACTCTGACAATACAACCTTGGAGTTGTCAGAGAGCGTGCCATGGACCTTGAGGTGCAATACAAAGTGTTGCTGTAGCTCCTTTCGACGGCCATTGTTGGCAGTGGCGCTAGAGTTGTGTTAGAAGACCGAATCGACTTGTCAACCACGACTGTCATGCATAGCGTTTACTTACATCCTGAACTGAAGTCGACGCCAGCCGATGGGATAGACGGCAAAGTCTCCATCGTTTTCGTTTCCATCCTCCTGGAATGGGATCAGAGGCAACGGAGACGGCTCCTGGTCCGGGCCTTGGCTGATTTCGGGAGAGTTGGGTGGTGGAGTCTTCCAGGGAATCACGATGAGTCGTACAGGATTGCCATCTACAGACTCGATGGCAGACACAGCTACTTCCATGTTACTGACGGAGAGCGTTTCGTTGGACTCGGTAACCACAGAGAGCTGTCCTCGTGGCATGACCAGCGAACCACTGATCTGGAACAAGTTTCGACGGTAGCAAGTCAGCTCAGGCTGCAATACAGAGCCATCACTGCTGCTCGCAGGCATCTCGGATAGAAAGAACATGCCGTGGAGCTGAGCAGACAGTTCAAGCTGCTGTACACGGCCCTGTTGATCGACAATGGTAGATTTGTCTTGCGAGCGTCTGAAGGAAAGCAACTTGTGGTCCTGGTTCACTGTGAGTCGCGAGCCATCGTCCCTCATATCATGAACTATTTCCTGGTAGGCTGGTGGCTCGGTTTGGGAGAAGGACCGTTTAAGACTAGAATAAGAGTTTTGACGGTCGTAAGAGGCGGGCTCATCCTGAGAATATCGGTTATACGAGTAGGGCTGGTCCAACTCGCCTCGGGGTCGAGCCGAGAGATGTGGTTGCGAGTGCCCATGGATAGAAGAGTCCATGCTTCCAAGGCGGGTAGGCAAGTGTGAAGAGCCGCCATAATTTGACCATAGACTTGAATGAGCAGGTTCTCCTCGGAGCTCTGTCATGGTGGCTGCTGGGTATGCTGCCGTAGTCATCATGAGCACATGTCTTTGCAACAAATGCCTTGTAGAACAGGTTGTGCCAAAAGTGATGAATTACCACTGGGACAGGACCCTGGGAACGACGGGGTTTTTATGCCGGTGATGAAGAAGGCGTAATGATAAGAGCCCAAGGGCGGGAGCAAATATAACCGCCTTGAGATGATTTTAAGTTTGAACTTGGACCGTGACGGATGAAACGGCGACAGCGTGTGGCCTTTAGCTTTACACGGGCCGAGTCGTAAGGCAGGTTCAAGTAGCACCGGCTGGCAGTTTGGATAAAGGAAAGATGTAAGTATGGTGGTTGTAGAATTGCAGATCAAGTTGCGGGCGAGTAGTATACTACTTGTATCCCGATGGATCCCCCCCCAGGACGGCAGATGCTTGTGGACTCTGTGGATTCTGTGGAGGGGCGTGTGTCCTAAAAGGCCCGGCACTGACCTGGGTACATTTGGGACGCGAGTGCCAGGGCCGGTGTTAACAGCCAGGAACGGGAACAAGCCCAGCGTAGTGTGTGTAATTGCAATTAGGGTCATGGAGCAAAATGAGACTAAACAGGCTCAGGCTGCTCAGGCTCAGGCTCAGGCTCTTGGCCCATCCATCCACTGGGCTAGTATCGATCCGTCTCTGCAATCTTTCGTCCATCGAGGAACAGAGCTAAGTCCGCCTTTGTGTAGGCGTCTGTTCTTGGAAGGCGAGTAATATCAAGAGGGGGCCGGCCTAGCAGGAAACCCAAACCTCGTGGACCGTGTGAGGCGACGACGACACGATTTCCCGGCGGGCTCCATATCTCGAGGAGACGAAATGTAAAGACAAAACACTCTTCAATGTGCAATGTGAATCCATCCGTGCCTCTGCCAATTCTTGGCACGCCAGTTGTCTTTGTTATGCAGAAACCATGAATTACCCCAGAAGCATAAGGGGACTTGGAAGCCCTAAATGCTGCCCATGACAGATGGACGGTTACGTTGGGGGCGAGATCAAGTCCGACAGCACGGGAAGAGCTACCGTGGGATGGGACATGGGGCCAAGACATCATCATGGGTGCAGTACGAGATCGAGGGGCCACACAGACGAAAGGTCCTTCCTTTCGCGCTGCCCCATGGGAGGCAAATATTACATGCTTGACACGCCCCGTTATGTCAACCTATCGACCGTTTGCCGAAGAGGAGACGAAAATATTCCTGGTCGGTTCAAGGCCAAGGGGGCAACAGTGTCAGAAGCCATGTACCGGTGACGAGCCGTGGGGAGGGTGGGCGAGTCTGCCGAGCGGGTGTCTGTCACAGAACAGACAGCAACCAGACCTCCATGGTAGTGATTACTTTTGCTCGGCATGGGCCTGAGGAGTGCAACAAGAAATCGACGCACGACGCACGACGCAAGACGGAGACAAGACACGGCAGGGGTGTCGGTGGGTCGAAGGATGGTTAGTCTCTTAACAAACTCGAGCTTCACAAGCCTCATGGCTCAAGCGCACATTCCGGACCCTGACGAACCAACAGTGTGTGTTAAACAGTTGGAGGCAGAATGCTCCGATACCACCAGGAAAGCCAACTCCAAGGCCCGCAATTCTTCTAGAAGTTGGCTTCCGCGTACCGGTATAGCACCACAAAAAAATGGGTGACGCCCCAAGGCAAGTCTTCCGGTGGACGTGGACGCTGTCGTTATCATGGCCAGCCAAACCGTGAAGCGAGCGAGGTATTTGAACCTCCCCCGCCAGAGACACAAGTGGCTACAACATGACCAGTTATGAAATACACCCAACGGAACCCACGTTTTCGCGCAATACGGCAGCTGGATTCTCTAGCCTCGCTTCCATCTTCCGCCGACTTGCTATGCAGGGTAGACGACTAGAAGAAGGGCTGGACAAGCCGGCAATCTCTGATGTGGCTGTTCGTTTCTTGTCAGAGGACTCGGCCGATAGTAGTTGGCGACTAGCGGCTGGCGGCGATATTCAAGGACGAATGCGCGCCATTGCCACACTCTAGCCAACCCCCGAAAATGGTGGCAAATCAGTCATGCGCAATGCCCAAGCAATGTTGCCAATTAGTGTTCAACACCAAAGAACATGTCTAGACTAATTGTGCTAGTTGTGTCAGGAGTTCGCCCCAGAGTGTCGGCCGAAAACAATTCGTCTCGCGTCATAGCAAGAGCCACGAGACCTCAGAAGGTCAGGACCAGTCCTGCATGGGTCAGGTGCGGACAGTGACCGAGGTTGTGGGAGGCACGGCCGACTGACTTTTGTCAATGCGTCTGGAGATGCCATATCAAGCGCAGAGCGATGGCGACAAAGTCTCGAGCTTAAGAGCAAAGGAGAAACCCGAGTTGGATAAATGGAGACCCTTCCACTAGCGGCGGCATTGGTTGGGCTGACGGGTGCGCCTCCATCGAAGCCATCTTTTCCATCACCCACTAGGATGCAAATAAAGCGGGTGCCAGGACATGTCGCTATTGGTTAAACGGTCTGCACGAGGCGGGCTTACTTCCGGTGATGCCCCATGCTAGCCGTTCTTTGCGTCGATGTGCCTGCTATCACTGTTGCAGGACTGGTGCGGGACACCAACCATCGTGGGCACGGGAGGCCAAGAGGGAGTGTGTTGTCATCTCCTCCGGCTGGCTGTTGCCTTTTCGGCCGGCCTGTCAGGCTATTCTCCTCCCCTTCCCTGGCCACCAGCCATGGCCACGATTGGTCCATTGGTCGCAGCCATGTCTTAGTTATTCGGAGACAGCCACTTTTCCCATTTCGACAGGCCGGCATGGTTGCACACAACGGTGCAGAGTCGAGGCTGTTGAGCAGGCATCGCCCGAAGGGGAAGCTCATCTAGGGTTTGAGGTTGCTAGAGGCAAGCAACTGGAAAGAAGCGAGCAAAAGCTGAGGGTGTTATGGAAGAGAAACTTGGTGGTATTTCTCCTTAAAAACAGGATTTAGATATTGAAGACCAAGCCGCCAGCAAAGGATGGCAAGCCTTGTCTATACTAAGGACCACTGCCGTGGAGGTTTTTAGTGCCGCAATCCCGGAGGGTAGCCCAAAGAGGTGTGTGTAGAGAAGCAGACGAGCCAAAACTAAAAACAGGGGCGCGTTGTGAGTAGTAGTACTACTACTACTAGAACCGAGCATCTAACAAGCTGATCAAGGGGCCAGCAGAAACCGCTTGCTGGTATCCGTACTCCATGGACCGCGCAAGCATGGCCAGGCCAAGGGGTGCAAACCGGTCCCGCAGGCACAGGGAATCCAATGCCGCAAGGATATTGAGAATTTGAGAGAGGTGAAGCTTAAACGCTCCAACTGCTCCGAATGCAAGGACTCGTCTGTTGTCACAGAAAGTTGGTGATACCCCTCTCTCAGCCTCCGGTATAAGTTAGATCTTTTATCTCTTAGTCGGTTGTTGGTATCTTTTTTCGTTTTCCCCCAATGCCGGTACCGCCACAATGGAACGCCGCTCGGCATGCAGGGTCCAGTTGCTTGAGATAGTAGTATGTATGCTCAACGTCGTCGCACGACCAACATGACAATCCCAATTTGGGTCAGTGGTCATAGCGGGAGCATTCCCAGACAGTAGGAGGCTCATTCTAATATCACGGAGAACATGTCAGGAAACACCCCATACACACAAAGGGGACACCAGACTTACTACGGGGTAGCCAGCTGCATGATGAAGGACTGCAAGAAGACATACGTAACCACGCCCATCAAAAGGGGTAACATTCCCAATCATCACACCTTCTACTCGAAATGAGAAGCCGGCTTTGATTTGTCCAGGCCCAAAACGAAGCCCACTTTCAACACTTCCCGTTGATGATATATGAGATGTGCACTCCGTATAAATCATATTAACTGTATGCACAACTCCGTCCTCTGAAAGTTCCCATTGGCCTGCCTGAAATGCCTCAAGTAGGCGTTCGCAATCATTTTCTTCTGGTGACGACCACATGGAGGCCAGGTTGGAAAGTTTGGCCCTGGATGTACAATTTGCGCCACGGCCCACCCCCCTTGCGCCTTATGTAGGCATAAGAGGCTCTAAAAGATCGGACATATTGTTCGGCCGTAAAATCACCTAGAGGCCTCTCGCCCGCAGAATCGTCCGCCAGAGGGCGGTGCATCAGAGCCAGGGAGAAAAAGCCCAAGTGCGCCGCCAGGCAGCCAAATTATTAAAAGCCTCGCCCACTCGCAACCACTCAACGCAGTTTCTGAGTGGGCGAATCGTAGAGGCAGGTCGATGTTCGAAAGCAAGTCGATCTCTCCATTTGAATTCATCGCGCCTAAGCGTATCCTGGTCCATATCAACGATGGAGTCCGGGCGGCATTACGCCGCATACATAACACTCTTGTGTCACAGGTTGATCAACCGATCTCGTGCACATTGCCATCATCTGCTTGGTGCGTCGTGACCCCCGTGTGTCAATGTCAAAGCCCCACGCGACTGTTGGCCTGTTCACGAGGCGAGATCCTCACGTCCAGGTGTGAAAGTCATCATGATTCGAAAGGGGCTTTTAGGCTAGACGGTGACAGAAGCCGGCCATTCGGTTTCTGCACGGCCTTGCGCAAAGCATAGGCTATGGTGAGATCTTGTGCGTTCCGTGTAATACAGCCGGGAGCTTAATTTGGGAATGAGGTTAGAGCAGAAAACGACAAGTGGCTTGGCCTTCCTCGAGATGTGAGTGGGACCTGTGTCCAGAGTCCTGAAAATAGGTAGGGGCTGGTGACTCTCGGCTTTTCTCAAATGCTTGGCCCGTGGCCAGGTGAAGATTGAAGATGTGGGCGTGGGGTTGGGGTTGGGGTTGGGGTGTGAGGCTGTGAGGATCACTGAAGTGATATTAATTATCTATGGCACAATGGTGGTGGAGACGGGCGAGACGAGAAGGACCAGACACATGCACACACGGCGCTGAGAGACATGGGTGCACCATACTTCGTACTCGTTGCTTCCTATGTAAAAAAAAGAAAAGAGAAAGAAAACGGCAGGAGCACCCAAGGCGTATCGCAAACTGAGACGTCCGGACACGTTCGTCATAAAATATACTGAGAACCAAGTCATGCATGTATGTACTTAGTATGTATGTGCTCTGTACGGACGTACGTACTGTACATTACTTTATGCGATGTACTCGTCGGCTTTTATTCAGAGGTAAAGTTCCCGCGTAGTATGGGGTACTTCTGCAAGAAGTACCTACCTAGTCGGTAGGCACTTGGATTGCCACTCCGTATGCCGTACTCCGCAGTGCGTCATGGTTCATTCTTGCTGCGTGAGTGGGCAGGAGGTTGCGCCCCTGCCGAGGCTGCACATTACTTGGAGGCGCTGCTGCCTTCGGGCCATTCACCAAGAACAGAAGCAGAAACTACACTACCTAGGCACTAAGTACCTGCCTCTGTCCAATTAAGCCCAGCAATTCTGGGCCGCCCCGTAAGGCAGGTTCCCCCCACGCCATCACGCATGCGCCAGTGGGCTGGCCTTGCCTGGCGAGCTGGGAGTTGCGGGGGTGTAAAAGCGCATCACAGCATTCCGAGCCAACAAAGCAGGGAAGGAGCACTTGACTTGCAGCAGGTACGCTGACCAAAATGTTCCAAGTTCTAAAACCGGTGGGCCAATCATGCACTCCGAAATTGGTGTCTGTGAGAAACAGGTCGTGGGAACATCGAAATTTCGAGTCCGTGGCAGCAGGAGAGAGGTCTCTGCTGCCGTTGACTCTTATCTCCCAACCTCGGGCTTCAATCGTCGTCTCCTGAAGAACCCACGCTACGGAGTACGCGAGCGAGAATTCAAGGTTCCCGTGTCTTGACGTCCCCGAGCACCCAAACACGCAACCTGTGGCCGGTCATGTCCAAGACGACGTCGAAACATGGCCTCCCGCATCATCGGCATTGCTTCAAGCAACGACGGCCTCTTTCTTGCTCGAACCCTTCGCAAACGCAAAATCCTGAAGCCTGGCCTGGCATCTGTGCCCACCGCCTTGGCACTGCTTGTTCAACAGTACGTAACCATTACCGAGACCACACTGACCTGGGCACATCTAGCCATCTCAAAGCGTCCAACGACTGTGCGCTCCTCACCATCACTAGCATCATCCGCTGGGACATGGCACCTGACCAGGGTGGTCGACATCCTCACCTGATGTCACCGTCAAACTAGAAGACTAGCCTGTTCCTTCTATGCATAGCAAGGGACGGTCCCCCAGCACAGCATCAAGGCGATCTTGCCACGGCACCCGCGTCAACTCCAGGTCCCGTTGGACGCTCAACAAGCTATAACCATCATCCACTATTATCCATTATGAACTTTCGCAACATCCTTCCAATGTACATCCCTACATGTGCCGCATCCTTGCTGACCCCTCCAGTAAACTTTATCGACCACACTGTGAAGTAGCATCCGGAATGCTGGCCGTTCAGATCCACTGTAACCTCTTGGTGGAAGCACAGTGGCGCAGGGTTCTTCCTTTGTCTCAACTTTACGATGCTGTGGCCTCTCGCCTAAATTTCGTGATACCGAACCAGTGCGCAGGGCAAACAACAGTTGCAGTACAATATCTGGGCGCACATTTCACACGTTGTTGCGAGCACTCTTTAGGCATAATGATGTCTTTTCATTACCTACACCAACTGCGACATCGCCCGTTTTGAAGCGTCCAAGTGTAGATGTCTTTCCCTGATATGTGCATGGTCTGCCAGCAGATGGCAACTTGCATACATACTATGCCACAGTTTCTCGTCACCACCAACCTTGATGACCACAGGGTTGAGGGGAGCTGACTTCAGTGTCATTTTCCCATTCACAGATACTAATCTCTTCACTCTTGAAAGTCGAACCGGATTGTTTGCAGCCGTTCTCAGCTGTGTTTGCGATGTAACCATCAGGGATGGTGCAACCGTCCACTTAGGCAGATCTGCCTCTCAGTGCCACTCATTTGGCCTCGCTTCCTGCTGCCATTTGGTGTTGGCAAGGTGCAAAAGGGTTACTTCCCGCCTCGACCCGCTTATCTACCTGTGGTTTATTCTTAGAGTCCCACGCGAAACTCTTTTTTGCATTTGAGCAATTAAGACCTAGTCCACTCTGTCAGAAACAGCGCATGTTGGCGTCGACAATGCCGTGAACTAGACGCAGACACGAAATCGTCCTCAGTTATTGATTCGACGGGATGGACTTTCCTCTACAGGTTAGGAACATACGGCGTGTTGCGCGATGGATACTTACAAAATATCACTGAGATCATGAATGAGCCCGTCTCCCAAGGTCAGAAAAGGATGTGGGAATCGCCCCTCCTGGCCCGTGCTGGACGCTCAAACGGACCTTCCGACACTGTCCTTGGATGTTGCACCGAGATCATGCTCCGGCCCGGGTAAATATTGCTATTAAATATGTAAGCAAAGGGGGTGGATAGTTAAGTATCCACGATTCAGCGATCCGGATCTCGAGTTTTTCTTGAATTCACGACTATTCTTGCCGCGTGGATCACGGTGGCGAATACTGGGCGCGACCAGCCTGGTTTGATTGCGGAGCCTACGATTTCGTGCTCCGTCCGCAGTACAGATGGCGTGAGTTGGAAACACTACAAGTCAGTATCTGCTTTGAGCGCGGATGTGCTTTGGAGGATACGACACCTTCCATGGAAGCGCTAGATAACCCATCGATACCGATGCGCACTGCCCGTCCCCGAACTGCATATGACAAGTAGGTCTCATCCCGTAGAACCTTACGCGAGCTTGTGAGCTGACAAGTACTCGTCATCACCGTGAGGCTGTTGGGACATAGCTACCGTGGCTATGTACAGCATCTTGCTCTGCTACAGGAGCCCTCGCAATAAGCGACACATTAGGCATATCATGAGCGCTTTCCTTCAATGACCGCCTAGCCTTGTCGCGACAACGTCTGATGCGCAATAACCTGACAAGTTCTGCGCAGCCCTTGTGCTCTCCCCATCGGACTTTGCTGTGAAGACGCACCAACCATCACAAACGGCTTAGCCAACAAAGGTCCCCTGGGTCATGGACACAACCTTGTCGCCCACGTCTAGGCGATTGGGGGTGTAATGACAGACGATTGGCAGCAGAAGGTTCGCCAAGTGTGGTTCATTCGGCTGACCCACCAATTTCGTTGACGATCTCCGCGCGCTTGCCTTTTCTTTACAGCCACTACAGACTGAGATGGTCGGCCGAAATCGTTAGACCCGGTGCGCCAACATGTTCTCACCAATGTGAGGAGCTTCCTCTCGGCTCTGGGTCTCGCTAGACTACGGAGTGCTAGTAGCAGGTTCTGTTTATTACTCAAACGCAGTGGTGTTATCCGTTGGTGCATGACTCTTTGCCCAACGTCTGATGCCGCCGTCCCAGAGTCGCGGGGATGAGGCCTGGGGATATCCATCCACTATTGATGCATTCCATGATGTATCTCTGAGCGTGAGTTTGCATAGAGTGGGATATATCGATTCAAGAATAGATGTTGGGATCAAGGTACCCATGTATGGGACTAATGTCCGATACGCTGGACACAAGAGGTTATGAGCTTCTCTGTTGTTTCTATGACTGATCTGCGGTGGTTTGTTTAGTGATTGCGAATTTCCGTGAAAGCAGCCACCAGCGACCGTAGGAGAGACAAAGTTTTCGAATGTTGCGTGGTTTATGCAGCAGCTGGTCTGCATCAGCGATCACCCACTTTTCGATCTTGTACACGGCAACAGATGTGCCATGTTTATGTATGCGAGCCTTGGGATTTGCCTAGTGCAGAGGTGGAGGGGGACATTTTTTTTAAAAAACAAAAATTTAAAAATTCTGGGCCTGCTAACTGCAAAACACTCTGCTTGGCTTAACATAGAGCATGCGGTTAATATCTCTAGATTCCTCACTGACATTTGAGGGACAGGTCCAAAGACCAGCCGTACCACGCTCGACTACAGGGAGAAACTCCCGTTGGATCACATATTTGCAATTATAGGCGCCGATTTGTAGATGCCGTGGACACGAGGGAAACACCCTGACAGCCCTGGCGCTTAGAGCAACAGAGCTGCATTATAGCTTCGTCCAAGGGAAAAGCACAGCTTACACCAATTGACAAGTTAGCAAGTGGATAGATGTGCTCGAGGTAATGTTTGGAACAAAATGCACTACATACACTGTGCGAAATGCTCCGTGACTCGGGTCCGAAGGGTCGTCACACTCGGCTCAAGGTAGGAGGGTATCAACGAAATCATTATTCGTTCGCATTCCTGCGCCCCACAAGGCATTCGGTTAGAATGGCGACTTGAGTGATGATGGGGCGCAAGAAGCCGTCATCTGTCCCTCGCCCCCATCACCAGAAGAAGGATGAGGCCAAAGCGGGCGTGGTTGGAAAGGTTGGTGCCACCGGTTCCAAAAAGGATCAACCGCAGCATCAACGTCAAGCAGACATGACCGTGGAGTCCATCTCCACCTCAGAATCGGCTTTACAGTCTGTAGTTCCGATCAGAAAACAGTGGGCAGGGGCTGGGTGGACGACGGGATTGGGATGAGAAGCTGTTGCACTCAACGTCTCGCTCACACGAGACGACGGAGGTCTGACACGGGGCATCGCGGCATCGCGGCATGGCCCTGTGGCAGGTGCTGACGCTGCTCGTACGTACTTGTACTTAGTTGGGAGAACAATCTGTCCTGGGTATTTGGACGAAATCAGGGCAACCTCGGGAAGAGTGAGGAGCCTGATGCCATCATTCTGCGGTGCATCCAGTCCCTTTGCATGGCATCCCCGCAAAACTGCAAGAGATGATGCAGCTATCCCTCCTTGGGGTAGTGTCGAGTGTCTCTGGCTCTAGCCCATGGTGCAGCCCTGGATATGTATCCTCCCAAAGTCCTCGGTCGGTTTTGCGGTGGTTCGGACGGAGAAGAAGCCGGCCAGGTTCTCACGCACTCCAAGATTGGGAGATGCTGGCATTCGTGCACTTTGTACGGAGTAGGCCAGCCGGAGTACACCTTGTAACATTGCACGTACGCGCGAACCTCGGACGCGAACCCCTGGATATTGTATACACATGTCGCTTCCTGTACGGAGCACATATTGCTGGCTGCGGCTAGAGGTTGACTAAGCGGTAAGAACACGCCCCCCCCTTTCAAAGAAACCACATGGTCAACTTGCACCCCCGTCATCATAGAAGCAGGCCAGCCTGGCCAACCAGGGACCAGTCCTGAAGCCTTGGAAGGCCCGAATCATTGTACATACATACATACATACACACATACATACAGCAGGACGGCAAGACTTTTTGTGCACTCGAGAGACAGACGGGAACCTCTATCATATGAATGGAACCCATGTCCCGGCCGTTTTGCAGGACGGCGAGTTGCGTCGAGGGCTGTGGATAGATTTGCAGACGCGCAACATTACATATCTGTTGATGGGCAGTTATTCAAACACGTTGCCTCCGCCGGGACGAGGCAGCTTACTTTGCGAGCAAAATACATAAGCACCAGACCGTGTCTTGGGCCGCCAGCCCCCAAATTGCTGACGAGATACTACTATTGCTGCACAAGAAAGGCCCATTCTGGAAAATGCAAGGTCGAATCGTGGTCAGCCGAATTTGCCGGGCGGGAAAAACACGAACAAACCCCAGGGTAGCATTCGGGACATTTTGGCAGATGGCGATTTCTTTGACTGCGAACACTGGTGTTCTATTGTAAAGCTTGGGGCAGTCGACGATATATTGGTTCCTTTGGTCACTGACTTCCCTGTCCTTGCCCCTGCCCTGGTCTATCCTCCCCCCTCTTCTAACCTGCCTCCATCACGGCGGCCGATGCAACATCGGGAGTCGGTTCTCAGATTGCAGAATTATCGGCCGATCCCACTTCGCCCAGGCGTGCGTGAAGTTCCGGCTTCCATGTTCCCTTTGGCATCTGGCAGGCTCAGCCCTCACGAGTTCGTCACCGAGGGGGGGGCAAAACGGAAACAAAACGCTGACCGTGGTCGACGCATGACACGACGGGCGCAGAATAGTAATCTGCTTGCCCTCCGTCGCGCCAGCAAGTCAGGTAGACAGTGACGTCGGGCTGTCCGATGACGATGACATAGTAGTTACTATTCCTCCATGGACAACAAGGCACCGGCAACGAGTGGACCGGGATTTTTGCATGTGTCTTGTGCCTATCATGTCGCTGCTGTTTCTGATT